ATTCGCTACAATGTTTAACTAACAGAAACCATTTGAATGTGTGTATACGTGGCTCAGGAGGTTGGCACCGGGAGGCGCCGTACTTAATGGCAACGCAAAGAGCGCCATTGCTCACACAGACAACATTACGTAAATTTACCTAGGTTTTTTGGTGCTGGACTATTGCAAAGAGATCATGCTGTACACAAATCATGTTACTCTTGTAGAAAAATTTCCGTTTTCAATAGAATTTTGAATAGAATCTGATTTGTAGCATTTGAAGGGTTACATGTTTTTTGATTTATTCATTTAGCAGTTCGTTACCGATTGATTAAATTAATCAACCATTCAACCGTACATTCATCGAATCAATTAAAATGTGAAATTAAATTTTAGATAATTTCAACATAATGAAGCTATAGTTAATCCATTCACCTATAATCATTCGATTAGATTCGCCACTTCATTCACAAATATCTTTATTTCTCATTTATTTACGTTACTTCTATTTGTCGGCTCTACTAACTAATTTTTTTAATGAATCATTCATCTAGATTCAATCAATCACCATTCATTGATTTTATTCAGAGATTCAGTAATTTATTCATAGAATCATTCAGCATTCATCATTCGTCCATTCATTCATCAACCCATCCATCCTTTTAACTCTCATTCTCGATTAATCATTCGTTTGATCTATTCATCATTCATTCTCCTTTATAACACCTTCACGAGTGATGGCATAGTCTTCGCGACCCTTTTTTGGGACAGAGCGTCAAATGCAACTACACTACTATCATACAATAGAACTGTAACCCATGCCTACCACAGTCACCAAATAGTCTATTGAGTTTAGACCGATTTGAATTATGACCACTCGCATTAGAAAGTAGTGCTCACATGGCTCCTCGGCCCGACTTCGCCCTTCAAAGGGGAGGGGCGGGGCCTAATCGTGGCTCTGATGCTTCCAAAAAGAGTACGGTAGGTAATTAAGAAACGCAAATTACAACCATAAAGGCCTAAGACTCATATGTCAATCGATAATTTCGCTTAATAGTTTAGGTTCTCGCTGTGCCAGCATTCATAGATCCAACTGCGGTGGATGACGATGAGGATAGAAAACATGTCTACGAACCATCCACTATTGAAAAGATCATCAACATAGCGTTATGCAGGTGGGCCAGAGCGCAGACAACTAGAGAATAACTTTTAGAAGATTTTATAGTTATGCTAAATGAAATCTATATTTATTTCAGAGGAGATCTCGCCAATCAAGTGTTGGAAGTAAAGCCAGTCTCTATTGCTGGATTGGTAAGCTGCTAGATCTTGCCATTGAATTTAAAGGAAGAGCTTGTCCCAATCTAGTATAAATGATGCAGTAAATGCATACTTGCGGTTGAGACAAAAAAAAAAACTTTTACGGCCAAAGCGAATAAAGAGGAGACGTATTATTTTGGTAAAG